GAAGAAAAATCATTTAAAAAGTAATCCCCCCCCAAATATTGTCTGCTTCAGCTGTAGCTTAAATCATATGAAGCAGAAGAATGGAGTAGGAGCCACCTGGTAAGGGGAAGAGCTGTTACAGCTAGTGCTAATCTGTGCATTTTCTCATCCTAATGGGTGAAGTACTGTATGCAAAGCTCCACTAGAGGTCTGGCATATAAGCTTTTGTGCTGGCTGATTGCACCTGGGGGGAGCTTTACCCACTGTGGAAAATAAGGTATTAGAGTGTCAGAGATTGGAAATGGGCTTTTCCTGTCACAGCAGACTTCATGAAGGGAAGATTCTTTCTGTGTTCTGGAGCAGCTTGGGTCAAATGAAAGAGTCTCCTATGGACTCATGTTCTTATGTTAAATGTCACTTGCCCACTCACCATAAACTTGGTTTTGTTCTGTCTTCAGTGCTTTCCACCTCTACTGTGAAGGTCAGCTCTGGCGGCATGGAAATTGTAGGGGAAACACTATGTATGCAGCCCATGAAGGCAGTTTTCCTTAAGTGCTTCCAGGGGTAACTGTTCTTCTGGTGTGGTTTAATACCTGCTGAGGTGTTGGGGCTTAAAGCCCACTTTATGGAAATGGGAGGTTCCTCCCTAGCTTGCTCCTGTGGCCATATGGCTGAGGGCAGGTGAAACTTGGGGGCATCCAAACCGCAAGCCTCCAGGCTTGGGGCTGCATGTAGGATACCTGCCAAAAGACTTTGGAAATATCTGAAGCCCCTGGCGGGGGTGGAGGATGTTTACCAGTTGCTTATGTTTCTGGACTGACTCATGGATTTGGACTTGATTTGGCTTGGAACATGGAAAATTTCTTTTAAAAAAAGAACTTAAACTTGGCAGAGTGTTTGGAGGTGTGTATATTTAATAAAAAACAAAACAAAACAAAACAAAAAAAACTTAACTTCAGTCTTTACTGGCAATAATCAGTGTGAGTTATTTTAAATGACTTCATTGGGGCTTGTCCTGGGCTTGCAGTTCCATGGGTTCTTAAGTGCTTTGCTGTATTGCTTTAATCAGATCTCAAGTGGACCAACATTACAGAAACAGCATGTTCACACAACATGGCTGATACAAAAGCCCTCATGCCCAATTCATATAAATTGCTACAGATCCTGTGGCTTCTGTAGAACTAAGTTTAAGGGCTTTGCAGGATCAAGACCTACCAGAGAGAAGATGGGAGAAACCCAACCACAAGTAACATGTTACTGGAAAGTGCTTGAATACGACAGACTAGAACAGCATTTGGGAAAGAATTAAATGTAGATGAACCATAAAAAAGAGTTCCATAAGTATTCTCTTTTCTTAATGAATTTATCTCTGGACAGTTGGTATGTACATTAGTGATGCTGTTGCTTACACTGTCCTATTGGAACTTGTTTTGTGGTGTGTTTAGGGAAGTACAGCAACTTTTTCTTTGTTCTGTGACACTGATTTGGATGCTGGGGATCCAATAAAAATGTGACTCTTTGTTTTTGACATTTCAGGTGCCCCCATATTTATATCATCCCCACATTTTTACCAAGCAGACAAAAAGTATATTAACAGCATACAGGGCATGAATCCAAAAAAGGAAGATCATGAGATATTCCTAGATCTCAATCCAGTAAGTATATGTCATACTTAGCTAGGTAATAAGAATCATGTCACTTTCCCTTTATGTCCCAGTAATTTAAAGTAATGCTGGTAGCTTGGCAATGATGAGAGAAACAGGTTAATACCTTTCTCTGGAGCCCACAATGTTGATTCTCCCACTCCCCCTGCCTCTACAGACTCCCAGTTGTTGTTTCGCCATTTCCATCGTAGTGAAAAAGTAAGTAAATTGAGGGACCTCAGAAATCAGAGGTTTCCATGTTTAGATGGCTCAGAAATCCAAAGGCAGGGAGGACAATGTTCACAAAATGCCTTCCTGGTAGCCAAGGCATCCACTAGGAAATGTACATAAACGTAGTCTGACACCCCCAGTTTGCTCTTAGTAATTAGGAGCATTGGAAAATATTCCCATTTTACTTCAATTGTGGTGCCTCTTGGACCATGGGGGGAGAAACAAGGAATCTGCCAAAGAAAACAATACAACATTTCTGAATTTAAATTTCTGGAGCACATGTTGCATTTGTCCCTGGGTAAGATGTGCCTATGTTTGTCTGAGAACAAAAATATTCTGGAATTGGCATGCGCACACATCATCCTTCTAAGCAGGGTTTAATGAGTGGTTGAATGCACTACTGTTTTTCTGCTGTTGATTCAGTGATGCAATCCTGGGATAATTGTATAGATTGACTTGGCAATATTCCAGGATAAATTGTTATTACCTGTTACCTGGTGGGTTTTTTTTGTTTTTTTTTGTTTTTGTTTTTTTTCAGGATTTATCCCAGGACTATGAACCCAGGTCCACTGTATGCTTGCACTTTGTCCTGAGATAAAATAGTTTATCCTAGGATAAATGCAGTGTCTTGCAATCTTAGACTATTGAGTCCCTAGGGCATGGACTTATGAACTCTGTCATAACTGGTAGAGATGGTGACACCATTTTTCTCATCCTACAAACTAGTCCATATCACCAGGAAAATTGAGTTGCCGTCATACTTTAAAAACATTTTTTATTACACCATAACCTTTTATTAAACTAGAAGTTTACCTTTATTTCACAGTTGACAGGGGTGCTTCTCCAAGCAGCCAAGCGAATCCAGATCAACATCTACATCAAAAAAATGCCTGAATTTTTGTAAGTATTTACCTTTTGTGGCTAGGAGTTTCTGGGTGGCTTAACCTGGCTCCCTAATTTAAATAGCATTTTTTTTATACTGCTTTTTGAGGAAATAGAACTGATAGATGTACTTAAGTCTAGGTGAATCTGAACTGGAAGATGAGGGGATAACTCCTTTTACATTTGTCCTGGGGATGTAGTTATTTCCGTAAAACAGAGAAGACTCTGGTACACTTTAGCACCATATATCTCAACCAGTGAAGGCCTAACATTGAAACACGAGTGGGTGCCAGGGACCCCAAAAAATAGCACAAAATAATTTAATTTTTTTTAAAGGAACTTAAAATGTGGGGAGATTCATTCCTCTACCATAAATCACTTTTAATGTTACTTTCGTTATTTGATTCTCTATTTTTTGATGCAAGTAATCATCAGTAAAGTGATATAAGACCCAAATGTATAGAACATCAGAAAAAAATTTGGGACTGAAGTTTGGGGTTGCCCTTTTAGAAGAGGGAGATATGAGAGAAATGCTTTCTAAAAGCAATGATATTTTTCATGTAAGTTTTCAGTGAATTGTGTAAATCATGAGAATCTCTATGAAAGCTCCTTTTTTGGTATGTTTGTAGACGCACAGAACACTAGCCTGATGCTGCTCTCATACTATATTATCTTTGTTACACTCCCTTGGCTTCAAGGGAGTTACTCATGCTTTACACAGACACCATGTCTACATGAGACGTTAACTGTGTAGTCACTACTGCTCAGTAATCCAAATTACTGTGCAGTAGCACCAACAAATGGCTTTTTCGGGGCAGTGCAGTAGCCCCAAGGCTACTGGTGCTTCATGGGTTCTGCCACACGACACTACTGCACAGTAGTCTCGGGTTACTGTGCAGTCAGTGTCTCATATAGACATGGCCAGTAAGATCAGAATCTGGCCAAATATATCAAATACAGGATATACACAGGGAACAACTGTGTGACCTCTAGCAAGACCTAAATTAAGGATACATTTGGACATCATCAGTACACACCTGTCATACTGCTTAGCAGTCCTTCAAAAAAGTGTTAAACTGTAGTTGTCAAAAGGAGTTAGAATTCTGAGTTTTGCCATACAGAGTGTGGAGACCCAGCAAGGATATGTTTTAGGGGGTGGGTCAAAATACTGTAAAAAAAATATTTTTTTCTTAATATTTAGTGTCACACAGAAAGATAATAGGAAGAACTGGGCCCAGTTAGGGCTACTTTTTTCCTGCTCCAGAGTTTGGGTTTATTTGACTATGAGAGTACAGTGGTCAGTATGCTGAGAGGAGGAAAGCTTTCCCTGCTCCAGGTTTGAGGAGTGATCCAACCCTAACATTAGGAGCAAGAATCACCCAAATTAAGTCTCTGATCTCATTTATAATCTCAGATACTATTCATCCACAAGCAAAGTGTCCATTTTATTCTTCACTTGTAGGGTAGGTTCTGATTTAGTTTTCTGAGATTTGCCTCTAGTTAGAGGACATGACAGGTATTCCAGCTGAGTTGTCCAGCAGCTTGTTTTACCTGATGCCATGTCCTTGGACTTGTTGACTCCAAAGTAGGCTATGCTGTACTGGTGGCCTGCTTCCTAAGCTTGCTTTCAAACTGATATGTATTAGCAAAGAAGTTAGGAGAGACTGACTGATCCACAGCAACTTGACAATCCAGCTTCCTGTGGTTATGTGAGTGATAAGAGACTTATTATCATAGAGGTGTGCATGTACCCATAGATAACCAAGATTTCTGCTGCCACTTTCACCAGACCCAGATGATGGGGCTGTGTGGATGTAGGAATGATAGCAGAAGTTAGCTGGGAGTTTAACTGAAAATAGTGAGACTTCCTGCAAAAGACTTCACAGTTCCCACATGATCCTCAATGTTTGAGGCTTTTCACACAACATATATAAGGAAAGATGTCTCATATGCCCTAATCTTTTTGTGACACTGCAGCCAAAGACAGTATTTCCTTATCTGCCTTTCTCGTCTCTAGTAGCATGAGATGTCACATCAGAACACCTTAAAATTCCAGCCATACCGGTACTATTAACACTAAACTGAGCAGTTTATATAGTTATATACTGTCATCTTGACTGTATTTTCAGCCTTCGGCAAAATCCCCCAAAATTTTCTGGGACGATTTTCTGGGCTAGTTTTACAACTGGGCTGGGATAGTTTGAAAGGAATGATCCTGCTTTTGAGTAGGGGGTTGAACTAGATGACCTCCAACCCTAATTTTCTATGGTTCTATGATTTATTTCCCTAACTTGGAAGAGGAGGATAAAAACTAAAGAAAAGTAAGATGGGTTTAGAGCTTTCACCTGGGAAATTTTCCTTCTTGCTTGCTATGTTCTAATCTGTCTGGGAAAAGCAGGAATCATTGTAAAAACTCAGTGCTTTACTGTTGTTTGTTTTGTTTTTTTTTTATACAGTGACACAGGCAGGATCAGAACGCTGATTTTCCCTGTGATGTATATAAATGAGGTAAATATTTTAAATGATTTCATTGTAGTACTGCATGTCTAGTAAGAGGATAACAACTTTGGGCTTATCTGGGTTACTGGACTGCTGCTGCTGTTATAACTGAACCAGCAATGAGGTGACAGCAGAACCCCTTTAAGATGTGACTGATGCTTTCAGAGGGTCTTTTTTGCTGGCTTTGCTATGTGACCTCTTCAAATGACAGAAGTTAAGCCACTGAAGCAGCCTTCTTTTAACTATATCCATAATAGTGGTTTTGCTGTCAGAGCTATGTTGTCTTAGCTTTTCATACCTTAGCTGACAAAGGGTGTGTCAGCAAAACTTTGTGCTATGGACTGAACCATAAAAGCCACATATAGAAAGCTGTGTGATATTTTTCAAGAGACTGTGGTATTAATCTTGGTATCATTCACATGGTAGCAGCTGTGTTCTGACCAGTCTCAGTGCCCCTTATAGTTTCATAGTTTTATAGATTCTTTTGAATGCAGTTTTCTTTATTTCCGAAGCCAGCGATTCTCAACTGGGGTTACTGTGGCACCCTGGCATGCCACAAGACACTTTTAAGGGTGCTGTGGCACCAGGCCTCTTTGCAAGGAGGTAAGCACTCACTCCTTCACTTGTATGGCACTCTGTGTTGCCCCAGTATTCTGTGGAAGAGCTCCCCAAGCTGCTCCTCTGGGAGGTCTCACTCCTGCTTCCCATCTGTTGGCAGGCCGTGTGCCGACTGCCTTTGCACTCCAAGCAGCAAGCTTTGCTGCAGTTGGGCAGATGGACATGGGGCTATGGGACTACACTTTTCAGCCTGGCTTATTTACCCACTCCTCCCATGTTCCTGCAGCAGCAGGAGGGGCTGTGAGGACAGGTGTCTCTGGTCCTTGGCATGCAAGTTCCCACAGGAGCAGCTGCAGCAACAGGACTTGCATCATCCTGTTGGGTACAGGCCAGGGGCAGGGACGAGGGAGGTGACAGAAATAGTGGGGCATGGCAGAGTCCTGTCTTTGCTGTCCTCGCTTGGCACCAGCCTCTGTGCCTTCAGCAGCCACTGGCATTCCCTTCTCCTGCAAGGACAGCTGCCTCCTTCAGGAATCTAATGACTCGGTCCTAAGTTTCTCAGTCTGCCCTGTTGAGCAGCCCCTGCCCTCTGCTGCCTGCCCTGCTACCCTATGAGATCCTTTTAAGGGTATGGCATGGTGTAAGAAGGAAGCACTGTAAGACATAAATTAGTCTTTATATGGGGTGCCACTAAATTCAGAAAAGTCAAAACGTTTGGGAACCACTGTCTTAAATTGTGGTGTGGTGTGTCATGAGCTCTTAAAAAGCTGCCACATTCTACCACAGGGAGGAAAGCCTCCAGAAGAAAATGCAAGACTTGTCTTCCCCACAGTAACTGTAGCAATATATTATTATCGCCTATGTCTCCTGTCAGCCTGAAGGATGGAAAGGTCCGTATTGATTGGGCTTTTTGAAGGACCTCTGTAATCCTGCAAGGCACTTCTTCACTGTGGTGGTGACTATACCATAGCTAGTATGTCTGTTCTGGTTGATGAGAATCCTGTAATCTTATCCTCAAAATACCTCTGAGGGAGCCATTATGAGGCCTAGCTCATCAGCTGAAAGGCACTTCCAGAGTACAGAGGTATTGCACTAGTGGAATCACTGACCCAACAACTTGGTGGGAGCTGATAGTGTTTGTGAATTTAAGACTGAATGAATCAGTACTGGTGGATTATTATTAGATATTCCAAATCTGGGGTAACATCAGAAAGTGTCTGATAGGCTTTTGGTTCTTGGGTGGGAGAAGTGAGAAATTTGTTCTGTCCTGAAGGAAGTTATTTTTGCCTAAACTTTCCAGAGGGGACTAGTGATTTTCAGTGTTTCGCCTTTTGAGGAGTCTGGTTTCCAGAAATTTCTACCTACCTTAATCAGTTTAAGAAAGCAGCCATATGATATGGTTGCCTGGCATAGCAGGAGGGCCCTTCCAGCCCTGGGATCTTAAGTTGGGCATCAATAAAATATTTGTCACTGTTGGATATGCAGGCCAGAATCCCTCCTGTTGCTAAATGAGAGAGAGGCATTTTAACGAGAGAAAATTTATTAAATAGTAGGCTAGGCAGAGCAGATCTTGCTGTCTTCCTACTCGGCTTATGTTAAGCAACATGGTATGGCATAAAGGATGTTCTAAACGTGTTATTTCTTTCTTTCTCTCTCTCTCAACCTCCTTGTACTCCAGAGTGTTTTGATTGATGAAGCATCTGCCAGTAAGCTGAAATACGCTCTGTTTGAAGCCACTCTATTAAAGAACATCCCTTTTGTAATCATGGCACTTGGTATTATTTTTGGGATCATTTTCATTGTGCTTGCGTGCCGGTCCCGTGGAACAAAGGATGAGGTTAGTAGTAGCTGAATTTCACTCCTCTTTTTTTCCTGTCTTTCTGTCTTTTTATAGACTGTTGTTGTTCTCCTGCCCTGGTGGGGGGTCGGGCTAGAAGATCTACTAGGTCCCTTCTGACCCTAAATCTA